GGGGCTGCTGGAAGCTGAGGGTTGGAAAGCTCTCTGTCACTTTAGGTGTGGCCAGTGCTCTTCGCAGCTGGTTTTTTGTTAGCTCTGTTCACCCAAACGTGTGCTGGACAGTCAGGAGCAAACTCCCACATGACTGAAGAAAAGCCTTTTCAAAGTATCTTTGGCAAGGTTTGTAACGGTCTTGGCTAAAATATGTGGCCTAAGAGCTTGATGTGCTGCCCTTTGATGGGCCAGAATCAAGGAAACAAGTGTTTGAAAGACTTGCGAGAGACTTAATGAGATTTAAAGATAAATATTACTTTTCATGAGAGGAAGAAGAATTGGGAAACTAAACCAAAACAAACCTCCTTCGCCTCCAGAAAAATAAAAATAAAATCCACATCCAGGAACCTTTCTTTCTGAACCAGATTTGGTAAACCTCCTCCAAGCTAGTACCAAGGAAAGGATGCGAACTCTTCTCAGACAAGTGGATCTTCAATACGCTCTTCTGGTTCTTGCTTTCATACTCCCCCTCGTGGATAAGCTGTCAAAAATAATTTCAAGGAAAAATATTCCTAAACTTTGCTTTGTTCCTTTACAGATCCAATTTAAAGTTCTGAGAGGACACAGCAATACTGTGAGCTCCTGCCATTTTTGCTTTGAAGACACGAAAATACTTTATGCTGTTATGATAGAACAGTGAAGCTCTGGGTATGTTATGAATGCAACAACAACAAATTACAAAAAAAAATCTTAAAGCTGAAATCAAACAAGGAATGTTATACAGGCATGAAGATCAACTGAATCATCAAGGAGCCTTCTGAATATATTTTACTGAAGTTTAAAAATAGCAACTGCAAATGTTTTGCAGTCACAGATAAATAGAACTCCTGTTTCATACTTTGAACACATTCTTCAACACTAAAGGGTGACTCTTGTAAGCATATGTAGCATACACTGAATCAGAGCTCTAGTTTATTAATATTTTAAAACTGTAAGTTGATACACCAAGCTTACTCTTTTTCTCCTGAAAGTTCCTTTTTCTGACTTGTCTATGTATGTGGATGTTTGTGGAGAAATAGAAGTTAGGGATCACATAGTTGTTACCAGCATGGCCATGGTGTTTTTATACTTGTTGCTTGCCCTTTCCTTTTATTTAAATCTTGATTTGCACCCTTTATTTTCTTGCTTGTCCAAGTTTTGTGTAGTTAGCTGGGGTTTCCCTAAAATTCCAGGCACCCTGGGCAGGGCAATGACAAGATCTGAGCTGGAGAAGTGTACAGATTCTGGGTGATCAAATCTAAATTTGGTCTAAATGACAGCTTGGAGACATACAGTTACATGAGCCCTTGAATTTTATGCAAGGAAATGACAAGGAAATGCTAAATAGATTGCAGGCATTGAGATCTGGCATATATTAAACAGTCACGACTTAATTCAAGACTTGGTAATGAGTTATAGTAATGCCTTAATATGATATGAATACAGATGAAATAATTTTATAAAAGATCTAAAGTGTTAACTTCTTACCAATGCACTACTACATGCATTACTACAATGCACTACTAGGTTTCTACCATAATCCAAACTTTTTTTTCAGACATACTGAAAAAGCCCAAGAACCCCAAAAGTGTAAAAACTCCAGGCAATTTGCAGGTGAGTACCATTATGTTATCCAAGAGCTGTGGAGGGCTAGATCCAAGAAATCAGGAAGTCTAGAATGAGAAAAAGTCCTGTCTTTTATTGATCAGTTCCAAAGTGAATAACCATGTGCAGATCTTATGCAAATATTGTTGACAGGAGAAATAAAAATAAGTATCTTGGCGTGTTAGTCATGACATTTACAGTTTAATAACTGTCAGGATGACAGTTCCAAACTTTCCTGCTTTGTCTGAACTCAGAACTGGAACTTGTATTTTTCCATCTTTAGCAAAAGGTTATTCAGCTGTCTTTCATGTAAATAAACTGAAATCAAGACCTGAAAATAAGAAGATAATCCATTAATTCTTTTAAGCACAGTAGATCCATGAATGTTGTTGTTGCTTGAAAGGGTGTAATGTGCCACTTGCCTGAAGTGTGGAAGGGTTAATCTGTCTAAGAAATTTTGTCTTTATAATTTTTATCCAAGAAAAATTTATTCAACACTTGTTGAGCGATACTTAATTTTCAGAATCTATCTAAAAGTATTTGCCTGAGTATTGGGAACTTTCTGATAGCAATGTATAGGCAAGATTATGTTCATTTATTTTGATGAGATTAATTTTGTCTGCACAAGCCTAATTTCCTCCTCTGCAGGAACAGCTGAAGCAAATAGATTTCAGGAGAGTACTTGATTGTGGGGGGGATAGGCCAGCCCTGACAATTTCACTTTGGGGTGTTCTCTCTCTCTCTCTTTCCCCCCCCAAAAGAGTAGATATCAAATGATTGAGTTACTGAGAAAGCATTTGAAGTTCCTCTTGAGAACAGACAGTATCTCACTGACAGTCCACACATCTTTTGGAAAACAAAGATTGATAGCACGCATAGTGGACAAAGACTAGATAAGTCTGGAAGGCCAGTTGTGACTGCAAGGCCTTTTTGACTCAAGAAAAATAGAACAAGAACATATAGTAACTTTGATCTATTTTTTTTTTCCTTTGGTTTTAGAGACATTCGTAATGATTCTAGCGTCACTTGTTAGGCCTGTAGTGCATTGACACACATTCAGAAAATAAGTGAAATATAAATTTACTTCTACTCCAGTTTTGTGTGTTATCAAGAGCTGCCAGGTTAGCAGGATAGCTCCTCCAAGTGAAAGTCCTTGTAAGGAAGCAGCTCTAGATCTGAGACTTGACAGTTGATGTTAAAAAGGGGAGTAGTAGTCAGAGGTGCAAGATTTTATTCTCATATTGAAGACAAATGAAAGAATGCATACACAATGAAGGGAGTTTATGTTGCCTGCTTCCAGATTGATTCCAAAACCTCTTGGTACTTATGCAAACAAAAATCTAATTGAAATAATTGGGTTAATCATGGAAATAGAAGATTATTTACCTAGATGAAGATATGATGACTGATCCTGTGATACTTTGATCTGTGAGTTATTCTGCATGTCAGCTATCCTGTTTTTTTTTTTTTTTGTTTTGATGTTTACAGTCAGGCACTGTGATCTATTTGTAAAATTTGATTCGTATTTGTATTACTAAAGAACTTCAAGGCTTTACTCGTGGGTTAGGACTGCACTTTGCTTTGAACGTTATACACATGTGACTAAAAGGTAGTCCTTTCCCGAAATCACTTAAAGCTCTGAGATTGTAAGAGTAACTAAAGTAAGACTAACTCTACTGATTTCACAAGTTTTGTTTTCCCTTATTTCATGATGCTTTGTATTTTTTTACAATGTGGCAAAGCACTTCCTAATCAAACTCATTTGGATTTAGTCAAGAATGTTGAGAAAGGTTTTCCTATTCAAGTTTTTGAAAAAGAACACACCGCCCCAATTTCTGAGTGCAACTTTACTCCTGATGACAGAAGGTGACCATTTTCTATCTTAATTTATTTAAAAAAAAGGTGATGTTTTTTGTGATTTCAAGGTTCAATTTCAGTGTATGTGGAAACGCTCGGCGCAAAATTTAGAACAAGTAAGTTACTTTTTCAGTCCTTCCTATGTTTTCCTAACTTGTATTACATCAAAGTAAAACTTCTTTTGCTTACTTTTGTGCTCCGTAAGTCATTTTGTTACAATTTTGTCTTGCATCTTGCTTCCTCCATACACTCCTCCTCCTTCTCCCCATCCTTGCACTTTCATTTATGCTGTCCATACTCTGCTAGCAGACTTGTTTATTGCCAGACTCTTTCATCCACATGAACTACCATGAATCTGACCTTGTTCTCACTTACAATTTATACAGAAACTCTTAAATCTTTTCTATTTTGCATATGATGTCTGCCAAATTAAACAGGACTCTTTTCGTTGTCTTAAATGCATGTTGGAATAGTCTGATAGATTGTGTCCTCTTTTAGGGCAAAGGACTTGTCTAATTCTGTTCCTGAGTTATATGGGGCTGGAAGTCTATCTTTGCCATATGTTCTGAAAGGGGTATATAAATATATATCACTTGTATAAAAGAACAACATTGAATTAGCCATGGTTCAGGGTTCATCTGTCAGTGAGATTTATACCTTCATAAAAGTTCTCTCTGTCTGTATTGTTTATTAATATTCTATAGCCTTTCCATTAAGCCTGTCTTGTCAATTAAAGAAGAAATGCATCTTATTCCAGTGTCAATCTGTGGACATAATAGTTAAAACAACCGCAGCATGTATTAACATTCGGTTAAGTAGGTCATGCAGTGCCTCCAGAGGTACTATTTCTGGCATATTTCATCATTAAGTCATAGTTTAAATCAATTTTTATTGGACTGTAGGGTTGACTGATTAGTTTTTTGATGGCTGAATAATACACGTGCTACACTGCCTATTGCAATTGCATGGGTTTTTTTAAAAAATTTCCAAACAGCAAGTAAAATACCATTGTGTACAGCCCTGGAAACCACTTTCCAATCAAAACCGCTACCAGTTCATAAACTTCACATGGTCTTTTGCATTACGTGTTTCCGTTTAGGAGTAGACAGAGGTTGTGTTGGCTGCAGGAAGTATATGCCTATGGAGAAAATAAAAAGATTTTAATAGTGTAATTGTATTTTTAGTTATTAGAATGTTAATACATCGAGTTTCTTGGGCAAAATGTATATGAACTTTTTATGAACTTTATCAAAATAAAAAGCCACAATGGTACTAAAAATGTTTGTTACATTCAGTGACTTTCAATGTAAATATTACTTTAGATATTTGGGAATATTTTAATAAAACTATGTGAGGGAAAAATTTTTGACTTCCCATTTAATGGAAACCTGCCAGTTTCACTAAACTTTATTGAATAGCTTTGTTGTCTAATGTGGCTTTGTGTTTGTGCAGAGCAGCGTTTGTGGTAGAGGGTTACCCAGCAACATAACCACAGAAAATCCAAAAAACCCTACTGACAGGAACACTTCATTGAAGAAAAGGCACCATAACGGCTTTAAAATTATTCTAACATTAGAAATAATTAAATATCTTGTCATGGATGAAATTAAATTGACTTGACTGCTTGCACTGAATATTACATACATGAGGGTTTTTTCTATCTGAAATATAAATAATCCTTTTATCAACTAAGCTAAGCAATAATTTTTGCTGTAGCCTTTTAAAATCTATTTAAGTTAGTGGGTGTGAGCATGTCAAATCATTGTCAGAATTAAATATTGTCATCTTTTTTTTAAAATACCTTCTTTTAAGTGAAAACATTGCTGTTTTCATTAACATCATTTTTAGAGTGGTAACATCATCATATGATAACACTGTCAAGGCTTGGGATATGGAAACAGGAAAAATACTTGTATGTATCCTTTTGAATGCATCTTGCAGAAGGTACAAGTGTAAAATTCAGATTTATTGCTTTGTTACTGATAAATAAGAAAACACAACATTCTTTGTTTGCACAACACAATATAGTTAGAGTAGGTAGGCTTGATTTTTAGTCCTAGTTTTGGTACTGATAATTGCTTGATCTTGGGTAAGTCCCTTGATGAATACCTCAGTTACTTCAGATACAAATGGGTGTGATAATAGTAAGCTGTCTCAGAAGATGCATTTAAGATTGATTAAATTAACATTTTAGGATTTGAACAGGGTGGTCTTGTCTAATTTTAAGTTTATTGCTAATGCAAAAAATAGAAAAATTGGATATAAAGACATCTGTCAGCTTTAACCAAAACAAAATAATATCAAAAGCTTTCTTTCTGAATCTGCTTACAGATTATAGAAAGTCTGCTATAAAACTCTGTCTAACCCTCAAGCATGTTTCTAAAACCTTTTTTTTCTTTATTTTCTCTTTAGCGGACAGTAGAACATGAAGGCATTGTAACTTCATGTAATATTTCTTGTGATAGTAGATATGTGGTATCTGGTTCAGACAAAGAAAATAAGAAAATACCATATATGTTTTTGATACAATAAGTGCAACAGTAGTGACACATATCCAAGGTAAGACTTACGACTTTTACATCTTGTTTATGCAGCTCTTGATTTTTTTTTTTTTTTTTTTAAATTGAGAAAATTAATGAATTCAGTTCAGTTCAAATATCCTTACTTGAGAAAGGCAAAAGAAACTTATCTGTAAGACATTAAACCCAGTATTTTTCAGAATAAGGTTATAAAAAGGAGGTAATGGGCCAAAATTAGACCAACAATGATTCATTTCCCTCTGAAGGTAATTTCACTAGTGAGATCTCAGCCCTGTGAGACTTCCACTCAGGACTGCAAGTCAGCGAGTTTGCCATACCTGCAGAATCAGCTTCAAAATATATGAGCAGTCTTACAAATGTTAAATTGGCATATGGTTAATGTACTCCTGTGAATCAGAGCCTGATGGTAAAATCATTTGGATTTAAAAACGGATTGTAATACCTTTATTAGAACTATCTCTGTTAAGTGACACTATCAGGACATATTTTGTTTACATTATTTTAAAGGAGCTATTTGCATTCTTAAAGTATAATTACCTGCTTGAGTGCTGCCCGAGAGTCTGAGCAGTTAATTGTCATTGGCATTGTGAGGCCACACTTCCGGACTTATTTTCAGGAATGCAACAGACAAATAAGTTACTACAGGGCAGCATGTAAATTTACGTTAACTGTGTATGTTGAGTGCCTGGGTACAGGTTAATATTTCATACTATCTGCAGTAACTATGAGCCCTCTCTTTCATTGAGAGGTAGGTGAGGAGGTGTCCTAGCTGGTGAAAAAGCAATTTTCCAATTACAGTGTTTTGGAAATACACTGATGCTATGGGTAGTCCTGCCTTTCAGACCAGACCTGTGTTCTGAGATTCAGATGTAATTATTCAAAATAACTAATAGTCTCACTTGATGTTTTCTTATATAGGGCATCACAAAAGTACAATCACAAGATGTTGTTTTGACCCTGATAACCAAAGAGTGACTTCAGCATCATATAAGACCGTAAAGCTATGGGATATGATAACATGATCCTCCTCAATTACAATTAATGAGTAAGAAACAATACTATAGTTAATTATCCATGGCATTATTTGCATCTTTCACAATTAGCAGTGAGATTTATGCTAAGATTTGTACTAGAGAAAATGAACAATAATTGTTGAACTAAATAAAGTAATATGCAAGCAAATGACATATATAGAAAGTGTGAATAAAGTGGTCCACTCAAGCTTCCTGCTGTAAATAATTGGAAATTGTATTTTGATGACTGTAAGCGTTTCTAGTGCTATTTTTTAAGAGTTTCTAGGTTCTTGGGTATAGATAGAGGCAGAAGATAGCATATGCAATATGGTACTCCAGGGTAAACTTCTCGTTCTAATTTCTACTAATTAGGAAAAATATATAATCATTGACAAATGAGAAGATAAAATATTACTTAGAATAGTGAAGTCTTTAAAAACATTATGGAGTGGAGCAAAAATAATACCAAGGAAAAGGAGAAAATATATCTAGATGTTGGGAATTGGTAATTAATCATGAGTTCTTACAGAATATTTTGTGATAATTAGGTTTTGCACTGCAACCAGATCACCTTAGCCCTTCATAAAATTCATGGGCCTCAGGGCAACCACAGGATGATCTACTCTGCTCCTAATAAGCTCCAGCGAAGACCTCACAGACTTCCAAACAATCTGTTCTATTGTCTCACTGTGTTAATCTTTAGAAAGATTTTTCTAAGGTGGACTATTTTGGCTGCAACTGAAGCTCACATGTTTCTGTTTAGGTCCACTTCAGACATGGAGATCAGATGATTCGCTTGTTTTCTTCTACATTTTTATATATATCCAAGAACTTCTATTGTATCTGCCAAGTCATCTTTTCAGTAGATTACACCATTCTTATTAATTTAATATTTAATTATTATTTCCTATTTTACTGATTGTTGTTGTTGATCTCTGAGATCTTTCCAATTGGCCCACATTTTTCTCGAATTATATGGCACCATAATGTAAACAGTATTCCCTCTAACTGGAAAAAAAATAGAAATTATTATTACATGCTTCTCTGTGGATATGTTTATGTTCATACATCCTGAATGAGATTTACTCTTTTTTTGACAGCATGATGGTGGAGAGGATTCAGTATTTGTTGCATCCTTTTGTTTCAGAACTGTGATGTAGTCCATTGTTCTCACCCCTTATCTGTGCAGTTGATTATTTGTATGTTACTACAGAATATCTGACTTGACAAAATTGACCTGATCAGGCAGCACACGTATTAGATAATTGATTAATAATTGTAAGACTCCTACAAACTGCAGTGATGACAGCATTGTTTCCTATAGAGACTGTTATAACCCTTTTATTTTCTTGATAATTTACTCAATTTGTGAAGATAATTTTTAATTTTAATCTTCTCCCTTGTATAACTGCAGACCCTCTTTGGCTTCATTTTGTGTCTGTACTCTTTATCTCATTATCTACATTGGGATTGGAAGTATGAGGTAGCACTGGATTCAGGACAGATGCTGTGGACCCCAGCTCACTGTGTACTTTCATTTTCACAGTGAACCAATTATGGCCACTCTCTGAGTACAGAGATCATTTTTCCAGATCATTTTCCCTTACGTGCTTTTGGAGAAGGTCATGCCTAGTGCCAGAAGCCTTGCTCAGTATGATCCCCTGAGCCTTCACATGCTAAACTCTAAATCTCTTGCTGAAGTCAGTAATAGAGTAAAAACATTATGTCAATTTAGGATATTGTTATCATTTTAAGAAGGAAGTATGCAACAACAGAGATGTCAAATCAACTGTTAAAAATAACAATGGCTTTAAATAAACTCAACCAATTTAGCTTTGAATTCTTAATAATCAGAGAGTGAGTCTGCCTTTAAACATTGTAATAAAATTGTCTTTGAGAGATTAGGAATTACTTTGGATGGGAAATTCAATCTGGAACATCGTAATGTTTCTTTTAAATTGCAGTGACTACAGCATTGTTTCCTGTAAGAGATGCTCATAATCCTTTCCCCACTGTAGATTTCAGGAAGGACTAGAGTCCTCAGCCAGTTCTGGAACATCCAGATTTCTTTTCTGATGGGTATTGCTGCTTCCAAAATTAGACTTTAATCTAAAATAGTTTGATCTTTTTCCTCTGAACGTTTGAGTTGAAATTTACATGTAGAGATAGACGCATGCTATTTATTTAATGAAAAACGTGTGGCTTTTTTTTGCAATTTACTTTTAGTAAAATGTGGTCATGCTGTAGCTGCTGAACAATTTCTTGTTAAGCTGCATTCAACAAAAAAAAATATCTGATCACTTGTCACTTAACAGCTAGGGTTCAATCCTGCAAAATGACCTAATCCAATAAGGGTTTTAGGCCCATGCTGGCTGTGAGGTTGTAAGCAGCTCCAGAGACTTTACAGAACTATTCCTATAGTTAAAATTCAGAATATGCTTATGATGCTTTACTGGGTGGAGACAGGGTGCTCAGTGTTGCAGGAGGCTTTTTGAGAGACTTGTAATGGTTACAAAAGCTCGCTCTTCCTGTGTTTTTCATCTGTGTTTCAGGGGACACAACAATGCTATCTCAGATTGCTGCTTTACCTCTGATGGTCATTACTTGTGCACAGCATCCTGGGACAAAAGCTTAAAAATATGGGATATAAAGACAGGAGAATTTCGGTGTCATGAACTCATTTCCTTGAACCAAGGACATGAGGGTTCTGTTAGTTCCTGCCTTTTTAGCCAAAATGGTGAGTTATCTTAATACTAGTGCATGACGTATCTCAATACCTATGTGTAGGACATCTCAGATAAACCACGAGTGACCACTCTAATCATGTAGGTAATTAGTTCATCATTTCCAAGATAACGTGTTTAATTATGAGAAAATTATGTCCATGTGATAAGTAAATTGAATTTGATAGTCTGTGTTCTGAGTTAACCAGGGAACTGGAATGCTTGCTTAATTGATACACTCATCAAGAGGCATAATAAAAAGATCATAATGGAGTAGAAGTACAATACTATGTTAGAAGATTAACTTAGCACTTGCCGATATTCTCCTAACATTAGTTAGTTGAAAAAGCATGTTCAGTAAATACTATACTGATCTGTAATAATTAGGAAAATGTGTCTTTGTTAGTACCCCCAAAGTACTATTTCTTCACAGCCCAAAAAACATATGCTAGTAATGTACTTCTGAAAAACTTGATGGATGTTCTCAGCTACGCTGATGGAGCACATAAACTACCATGTTCAAAGTAGATGATATTTATGAGTTATAGCAGGGCAATTTCGCCCCTGGAACTTGATGTCTCCTTGATGCTTGGATGAATAGGAGGAGAAGAGGAAGAAATAGACTCCCCAGTTTACCTATATCTGAGTGGAGGTAGTGGGGAGCTATTTCTTACTGCCCTAGTTCCATTCCTTTCACTAGGTGATAGACAGCTCCTAGTCCCTCCACAACATGAAATTAGTTTTACTGCAAACTGGTGCTGTGCTGGAACAGCTTCTCTTACCTTCACTGGGATGGACTAATACGAATTTCTGTACGTTGTGATCTAATTGGCTGTTTTCTTTTGCAACTTCACATCTGAATACTCCAGTAAAGATGACCCCTGAGCTGCTGACAGCAGGTTGATCTGCAGTCATACCCAAAGAGCGCCTTCTGAGGTAGGCAACTCAAATAAATAAATAGCAGCTCTGTGGGGAAAAATGTACCTGTGGCTTGAAGATGTGCAAATGCAGATAGGCCTGTGAATATTGCAATCTGAAAGCATGCTTTCTGCCCTAAACTCTACTTTTTTATTTTTATTCACAGTCAACAAAATTTTCATGTATGGTTTTTTCCACTCGGTTGTGTTTGCTAAATTTATGTATTAATATTTACAAAATTGAGAACATTAACAAGAAGTAGCCAAAAGGAACTTCTGCTGCCTTGTTAAGGCATGACTAAGAGCTCATTATTTAATTTTTTTTTTATAAAGTCTGACTCACTGTTAGAAAGAGCCGCTTTTATTAGTCTGTATGACAAAGCAAAGCTAAAACATAGTATTCTGATTTTGCACTTGTGTCTTGTGGATATGACAAAACTATAGCTATATGGGATACAGATGCAGGCTATAAAAAGCTAAGCTTAAAGGTACTGAGCTTTTATTTGGTCACTGGTTTGATGAGAAGATGTAAAATGTATTGTATAAAAAGCATTGTATATTTCATTATCTGACAAATACCCTTGCCCGTCCTTTTTAGATACAGGCAGGAATATAGCCTGGATTTGTGTGATTTAATTTCCTAGAACAGTATATTCTTATACAATTAGCTACAAAGACACTACCTTTGTCAAGTCAGTTATTAATAAGCTATTACATTTCACTTTTTATGAACAAGCTCATTAAAGGATTATACTGAATGGAGTTGTACCTATGTTTTAGAAGAGAGTTTCTTCCAGCAAGTAACAAGAGCCTGGATAGTGCATATATTAGTTTTCAAATGTCACACTCCTGTGTATCTCTATGTTTACATGCTTCCTTATGTCCACAGAAAACAGTACATTAAAAGGGAAGCATTCAAAAAAAATATAAATATCGGTGTTAAGGTTGTCAAGCTTAGCTCAGTCCCTAGGTTACATAGTTTACAGTACTGCTTATAGTGATGGGGATGTGGTCCAACATGTTACAGCACTTTTTACAGTGGACAATTCTGTAAATTAAGTAGCTGTTCGGTATTCAGCCTGCTTAGAGCTAGGCCTTCTCTCTTCTTCCATATCCATGGTAATACTACCCAAAATTTGAGGCGCTAAGTAATACCTGCATAAAATAAAAAAACCAAGTCCAACTCTACTTAGGCTTTTTTTTTTTGTGCCATCATGACTTTATTTTTTGCAAACCTACCTTATTGTATTACGATACCTTTCATTAATTTCTTATTTTACTGGAAACAATCCACAAGACTTGAACTAATGATCATCAGGCATGTGGGTCAAAGAAAAGGATTAACAGTATTCATAAAGTTATGTGCATGCATTTTGCAAATACTCATTTCACAGAAGTCAAGCAATGTCAGAGTTCAGATTCTCAGCCTTGGCTCTTTCCTATCTTATGAAAATACGATTTTAATGGACTTCTGCTTTTTTACTTACTGCATATGCTATTCAAGGCTTAGTTAAAACACTCATGATCAAACCCACCTGGAAGATCTCAGAAAAGACCGTTTTCCTTCAAAACCTTGGGTTTAAAAATCGTTTTCAGCTGCTGTCATGTTCAAGATAGCATCTTCATGTAGGAGAGCTCATAAACCTGTGTCTCACATCTGTTACCTTAAATGTAAGCTTACGTACCCTGTGGAATTGGAACTGTACTGATTAAACCTTTTGAGCAGTAGCAGTACACATTCTCCACCAGCATCGGTGCTTTACATAATACATCTACTGCAAATTTCCCAGTTCACAGCAGTCACTGTAAGTAAATCAGTTTCTCATAAAAAAGAAGGCATCTGTTTAAATGCTAATGTCTTCGTAACTATGGAGAATTCCAGTTTAGTATCTGTGCCTTGGTATAATTATATTCTGGGCTCATAACTAAATTTAAAAACATGTTTTAAAGATTCTGCTATAAAAACCACTTTTTATATGTGCATGTTTGACTGCTGCTCTGTGCTGGAAAAATACATGTTCATCTTTTTATTGTATTTCTCAGGTGTGGCATTTGTCTATCAAAATGACACCATGCCTTCCTAAACTCTAGGAATTTTATCTGTTAATACCATCATATTTGAATAGCTTCCCTAGCTGGAGTAAATAACTCATTTTAGATTTTAACCTGTTTCTATTCTTATGGTGACTCAGTGCTGTTAACCTCAAATCAGCTGTGCTGCTGTTGTCAGAACGAGGATATCGGATACAGCTGCTCAACTTGGCCTGCTTTCACAATTGCTCTGCTTCCCTTAAAATGGGGGGAAGCTGCTGTCTGTTCCCACAGCTGTTCCTACATTATCACATGATAAACAGCCTGAAGATTTTTTTTTTAGGTAATGAGTATTAGAAGTCAACTGTCTCTTTACAATTCTTTATTAAACTATTTAAAAAATAGAAAAGACCTATGCTTAAATGGAGCTTAAACCCATGGAAACTGTGTAGCTGTCATTCTTCTGGTTGCTTACCAGAGACGGTAACAGTCACTGTTTTCAGGTTATATGTAGGAAAGTATGAACTTCATAGCTACATTTTTTCTTGACTGGATATGAGGCAGTCTAGATAAGAATTTTCTCTCTGCATTTCAAAATGGATTTATGGTACAACTAGTTGTTTTTATTATAATAATAAAGGTTTTTTCTTGTGTTACAGGTAATTTTGCTTTACTGTAGGGTCATTGGGACTGGGTGACAGCTGTTGCGATTAGCAAAAACAAGAAATGGATTCTTTCAGCCTCCAAGGTAATCACTAATTCCTAGTGTGTTTTCAGGAGATAACTTATAAATGGATGTGAAGATTTCATCCCTTGTTTTCAGCTTTTTTTGGATGAAATTTAACAGTGCTCAAGTTGCTCATAAAAGTGCTAAAGTTGTAATCAGTATTTACCTCAAGTAATTACAGAAAATCTTTAGAATTTGATAAGTATGTTTATTTTTGGTTATTTTAAGATGTGCGGGCAGTTTAAGATAGCTAAAGATTGTTTCCAAAGACGTGATATTTAAATATGAGAGAGTTTAGCTTTCATATTGAGAGGGCTCATCTCATGAGATTTCATCCTTATGGAAATTATGTAAATCATGCTTTTAGTAATATGCAAATACATCAAAATAACGGCATCTTTTTCTCAGGATTCTGCTTTGAGATTGTGGAATATTGAAAAGATGGATGATATTCCTTCAGTGACAGAAATCAGAAAAGCAAGAGGCTCAAAAATTGCTCAGGTTCTGTTGCTTCAGTTTTTAACCATGCCTCATACTTCATTCAGAAGTGTTTGTGTTTATTCTCTCTTTGCAAAAATTGTCAAATCCTTTTTTGGGACTGGGATGTAGTAATAACAGTACTTAAAAAAATTTATTTTGGTGAGGACACCAATTTTCATATACTGGTGCATTTTTGTTTTTAGACAACACAGTCACATATGTGTACTTTTAAAAATAAACATATTTTGGTTTTCTACACCTGATGGTTCTGCAGAGTAATTGGCCACTTATATAGGAGTATTACTAAATCAAGGCAGGTAATAATATTCATGTGCTTCTGGACATAAATCAGCTTATACGAATTCTGAGGAGTGTCTTTTTAAAGCTGAGACTGTATATATTCTGACCTCTAAAATATTAATTATAAATAGGTGTTAGGAAAGAAGAATATTAACAAGCTTAATGCTATTGAAACATGCTTTTTATTACAGTCCCTCAACTGGTTTTGATAGTGGATTTGCAAGGTCTTGTGTGTATTTTCCTCCTTGTCAATAACCATTAAGTGAAATTGCATGAAAAAGAACTATTTTTTTTTTCTTATTTCTATAATATTTTTACCAGACTTTTTTGTTGAATAGCAGGTATTCAAAAGCAGTGAGCAGCTTTTCAAGCTTTTAAATAAGTTTTATAAATGTGCCAGCAGTGAAAATGTGTATATTCCTAAAAGTATCAGTTACAGAAATTTGAGAATATGGTTAAAACTGGTTCAGGAAACGATTTTTTGGTGCATTTTAGCAATACTTAAAGCATACCAAACAATTAGAAAAATGTCTCAATTTTTTTGTAAATAGTTTCACAAGTAGTGAATTAGGAATCAGTGTTATGTTGACTCTGTAGTCAGCAGAAAAACTTCTTTGTACTGACTACAGTGGGTTAATATTTAATCTAAAATTATTGTTATGTATCAATTTTCCTTCCTTTTACATTTTTCTTTCTACATGTCTCCTTTAGTCAGAAAATGGTCAGGTAAAAAAAAAAGTGTTAATCACCAAGACAGAACAGCTAAAAACTAGATACCCATCAAGCCACCCAAAAAGTAAAGTATGATACTGTATTAGTTGAAAAAACAAAAATCAGAGTTCACATAAAATATAGTTTTATTCAGGGGGGAAAAAAGCTCCAAACCTTTGATCACAGGAAGGAATTTTGAGCAGCACTGTCTGTATCAAGTCTGCAACAGCTATATGCACTCAGTGCATCTCAGAAATCAGGCCTCGGTATATGTGTGTATATAGAGCTGTACCTTCATGAGTGAAATCGTGCACATCTGTCACAGATGATTAATTGAAATGCCATTGTTTGTTATATTTACACCAGTGTGAAGAATGTGAAAAACCTTTCTTATGCCTGCAACGTAGCAGCTCTGGAACGATATCCAAGAGTGTATTCCGTTGTCTGTTGTCTCCAGTGAGAAAAATTTGGCCATTGCCACTTTCTGTTTTGCCTGATCTTTAAATTAATTTAGCAGTCTTAGGATGTTAACACATTTAAGTATAAATGGAGTGTCTGTACATCTTTATGTAAAACACGTATAAAGCTAAGACTTTCCGCTAACCTTGCTCTACTGTAGTATCCTGTATGAAGAATAATAAAATACATTGCACTAATCCATTAAATAGCTGTGATGTATTGGGTAAAGAATAAAATCCCCAGGAGCAGAAATCTTATTTATGCTGCATGGTACTAGAGAATAAAATTACTTACTTGTCCTTTGGGAAATTCTAACTGTTTTAAATGAATACACTAGTTCCAAGTTCAATTTACTAAAGAAAATATATAGTTATGTAAATTATTGACAGGTTTCCTTCCATCCTTTAGAGAAACTGTTCTTTACTATGGCAAACAAAGAATCTTTGCTGTCAGTGGACATGAGAATTTCATGAGTAAAACCATGAATAAGACCATGAACTTTTTTTGAACTTGTTGCCATACCCCTTAGAAAAAATTTGTAAAGGAGCTTTCAGGCATTTAGGGTAAGTTGTGGTTCATGTCTGACATGATACAGCACAAATTAATTCTGTGTAATAAAGGCTCCCTCCAACAAGGAGCATGGTATTTTTTCTACCCTTTCTTAGGAGCAACCGCAATTGTATCTATTCAGTATATGTGAGAATGTCAATTAATAAAGATTAAGTGTTTCAAAATGTTTAGAAACCTTATTTCTAAAAATAGTGTTTTCAACCTTTTCAACATTTCTTTCTAAAAGGAACTTAAAGTGGGGAAAATAGTTGGAACTGGGCATATGACAGCCTGGAATACAGTTAAGCTGTGGAATACAAAGAAATCCAAGTAGGTAGAATTTTTTTTTTTCCCTTCCTTGTTTACATTATGTGAATTGTGTAGCAACAATTACAATTGAGTCCAGCTTAAATGAAAATTATTTATCGAGAATAGTATGTTTTGTGTGGATTTATGGCTTTGAATAAGTATTAGGTGATAGGCTGTATTATTTTCCAGCATTCTTTTCCAGCATTCTTTTCCCCTCTTTACTCCTTAATTAAATATTATTCCTTTGTTACAGAGGCTAAAAGAAAACACTGTGTCTATGCTCCTCCTGTTCACTGTTTTTTTTTTTTTTTTAAAAAACATCACAAAATATACACGTTTTTAGAGCTGAATTAATTTGGCTTCAATGTAGTTAGTAATACTGAACTAATTTCTATATGTTAGAAAAGATCAATCATAGAATAATTAATGTTATATTAGAATTGAAACTGTTCTTTGTTTCTTTCTTTATCCTTTCTGGCTGGAAAAATCAAAGCTCCATTTTTTTCCGCTGAAACAGGAAAAGAAGCAGTTGCTCTATAGAGGCTTGGTTCATTTTGCAGTAGTAATGTGAATAGGTTGAAAATTTTCTTTTGAATGAATCCTCTTTTTGTTTCCCAAATTGAAGAAAAACACGGAAAAACGAATTCTTGCATTCTGGTTTTATTACTTATTGCTGTTTTCTATCCGTTTCCATCACCTGTTCAGTGCTTGTGTGCCATGTGAGTCAGCTTGTCTTCAGCCCTGAACTGAGCTTACCTGCAGCAGTAGGCTTATATTTGTATGCAGCATAGGTTTTGCGGAGAATGTGGTAATTACGGGCAATTCATAAGCTGGAGATTTAGCTGCATGTTTTCTGGCTCTTGTACTCTTGTAGTTTGACTAATTCACTCAGTCCCCTTTCTTACCTGATCAGAAAGTTGTAAGACTGTTTTAGACCAAGTCAGTGTGGCTGTCCTTCTGTAGGAGTTATTTGAAGAATAACATCTATAATTTGGCTGTAAATATGTCTTAGATGCCTGTTAAATTGCCAAAGCAATCTCTACGCTTTGCAGGTTCTCCTTACACTCCAGGGGTGTAATCAGGTCTATTCATGAAGATAATCCTTTGCTGGTAGCCTTGGGTTGTGGGCCAGGCTCCATGTTCGCTCATGGCTCATTCCTACCTGGTAAGGCCATCAGTTCCTTGGTGTGGTGCATCCTCGTTTGATGCCCTGTGCAGGTAAGAGCCTAAAGGGCTGGGGCCCTGAGGGACGGTGTTTTATTGGTGGCAGCATCAATTCTGTGTGAAGAATAACAATTAGCTGTGTAGAAAACTACTCGAATCACTTTTTCTAGTTATTTAGCTTGTACGAACACGTGCGTGTTTGGTCAGGCACTCTAGCGTTATGTGTGTGCACAGATCATAAAGCACATAAGCAGTGTGTGCGTATGCATACTGTGGTTTAATTTTTGCATCATTATAGATGATTGCAGCATGTAATTGAGGCCCGATCTTCCCTTGGTATCTTCTGCTGTGAGCCTTGGGTAATCAAGACACCGGGATAAGGCAGGACTGGAGCCTAACCGTAAGCAATCTTGCTTAAATGTGTTTTTTTGAAATTCTGATATATATGTATTTTCCTTCAGTCTTTACATGTGTTGTGCCAAAACAAATGCCAAGACACGCGTGCAATTTCCAGTCACACGCAGAGAAGTATGTCTGCAGGGCGGCGGTCGCAGCCGTTCTTTTCCAGGCTGTTCGTAGCTGTAGGACCAAGGTCCGTTCGGCCCCTGAGCTGCAGCTGCGTGTCTGAACCTTGGCAGAGCT